CAAGATCGCTGGGAATCGTGTAAAAATTGAGCTAGTTTTAATCGTAAATTAAAGAAGTCTGAAAGTTGTAGAAGTCTGTGAACGAAGATTGATGTACGCGAACAACAGCAGAAATAGTCATTTTGTTTGTCATACTGATCGCTGAAAAATATGCGAGTTCAAGATACTTTAAGTGGTGATTTTGACCGCGCGTAATTGAACAGAAAATGGATATGATATGAGTAATGTGGGTTAACACTAACATGCAATTTCACTATCGTGGCTGATGACATAGAAACTATATGTGTATATTTTCGATTTGAAAGGTTCAGAACTATAAGGATAAATCGTAGCCGTATGATATTATGAACTAAAACTGAGGAAGAACGTTCGCCGTTCTCTTATGTATATTGTAGAACCATTAAACGTGATCTCGCGAGAAGAAGAAGATGATTCATTAATAATTTAGAACGTAATTTAATGACTGAGTCTTTACTGTGTGGACTAACATCAAGATTAGTAGAAAAAAATTGGGCAAATATACTTGGTGATAAATGCGACGATGTGGAATATTTTATGAATGAACTTCCGTGGCTGCTGAGAGCAAAAAGAACTGACAATATCGAAAAATTCGAGAGCAATGTTTCCATGTGTGTGTGTATACAAGAATACACATCCCGGTAACATATGCAGAGATATATTCAACATGTGCGTAAAAGCGCGTAAAAGCAATCCCCGTAAAAGTTAAGCACTCGTTTTGAAGAATCCATTTGGAAGAGGATGGCACTTTTCCGAGAACTGTTACATCGAGAGAACGACTGACGGTGAAGTGACCCAACGAAATTTCATAATAAAATTCTAGAAAGAGAAACTTGGAGCATTTCCGAAGTTGCAGTGCAATGAAATTATAATATTTTCACTTCTTGGATGTCTTCCTCATCGAATATCTCTGGTTTCATGGTAGTATCCTCGAAACATCCATGATTCTGTCTCGTAAACGATAACGATATTTCGGGTAATTGATAATTTATGAAAATTTGTAATACTAGGTCTAAAGTTGGAAGCCATTCGTGCTAATCGTTAGTGGTTGTCGCATTATCGATCACAGTAAAATATTAAGGAATATTAAAAACATTAGCATCGAGAATTTTAATATTTCGTTCCTTATTACGGACAATTAATGAGGAGATAGTTTTCGATGGAAATTAAATGGAAAGAAAATCGCTCGGATTCAAGGACAAGGAAATGATAAACGATTACCGAAGAAAATTGTCGTTGAGGGCACGAGACGACGACGACATCCGGAACTGATAAACTTACCGAGTCGATTAGATAAAAATATGGCCGCTTGCCATTCGACACCTGCGGTGCAACGCCTGCAGTTGCAGGACTCAACTCGGATCGGTTACGGTGCAATCAACAACATAAGTGCTTCGAATCAAAAGACTCTTCAGCAATCGACCTACCCGCCTCTACTCAATTGGTTCTACCTGGCCATTACTGAACAAAACCCGTCGCAACCACCTGATCAGGTACCTCACGATCTTTGGGACACTTGAAGATCAGGATTTATTATTGAGTCAATCCCTAACTTATCAAACAAAGTCTAGCAAACAAAGCAGAAACCTGACAAACAAAAAATTTATTTCTATAGATTTTTAGGAAATAGATTGCCTGCTGAGTATCAAGCCTCTTATAATTGAAAAAATAATGATAAAAATATTTGAAAGATCCATCAGAAGAAGCTTATTTGAAATAACAAGCTATTTTTAACAAATTGTCGATTGGATTATCCGTTAACATTTTAGAGCAAGTTACTTCCTGCGATCTGGAGCAATTTTCCCGGTACGACGTCGCAGACTTATCCACATCAAAACGCGTTGAATCCGTCCGGATCCGTCAGACCCATGAGAGATAGCGGGACGGAAAGTATCGCCGATTTAGCGGTACACTTTAACGAGTTAGCAGTAGGCGACCGGAAATCGGCGAAGAAACCGCCGTCAACGTACCTGTGTCATTTGTGCTTCAAAAAAGGACACTACATCAAGGATTGTCCGCAGGTCGGTAATTTCTTCTTTAAATTATTCATCTAATAATATGTAATATGTATCGATGACCTTGAATTAATTTTCAATACATTTAAAGCTTTGATGTTTTTCTGTTTATTAAATACTAAATAGCTCCCGTATTTTTAACCATTTTATAATTACTTGAAATACTTTAGATAATTATATATGTACAGTAATATTATATATTTAAAATTTGGATAAAAATTATACGTATCATATAGGATTTCGTGAATAATTTGGAGTCGATTAGAACTGGCTATTTTGCGACAATCTCTAGGGAGATCTCGGATAAAAATATAAATAGATTAAAGTAATGAAATGAAGTTTAAAGTCAAATGCATATAGTAATGATATTACTGTAATTGAATGTAATCCTTGTTATATCATATGATTCGATTCCAAGATTTCAAGATGATATTAAGTCTATTATCTGATTCATGGAAACCTTGGATTAGTTATCGTACAATGTTTCATCAACATCGTTCAATATGACGTAAATCTATCTTATCAGATTTTTATTATAAAAACATAAGATTAATTGGATAGAGCATCGAATAGAACATCAATAAAGAATTGGATAGTTCAGTCATTTCTTTTCGTCTCCCAGAAAAATCAATAATTAAATAATAAATGTAAAAACAGAGCAAAGATCTTCTTCGTTTCTAGCTTGACACAACTCAAAAATAAATCTTTATTAAATACAAAACGATTTGAAAGGGCAAATTGTTAAATTTAGCAATACGCGTAAATGACACGCATCGATGAAACAATAGCGAGATATGCGTGGCTTAATTAAGCGCTAATTGACATATAACAAATAGTATTTCTGGAACACATGACGTCATACGGTCAATTATCGCGATATGAGGGTGAGCGAATTAAGTCACTTCTCCTGATGAGTTCTGATTGTGATGACGTTCTTCACGTCATTTTTATTCATCTATAATACAGGTAGAGAACACAAAAATGTCAAAAATCATAATGATATTATTATGACTTTATGTATGTCTCCTAAAAGTTACTGATAGAATAAATAATGCAAAAATGATCTAGAAATGAAAAAAGAAATCGTAGGCTACAGATAAAAGTATTTGATTTTCAAATATTTATGTCGTTTTAATATATTGTTGTCCACAATTACTGTAGATAAAGGCACGATAATGATTATGAATATAGTAAATAAAATTTCTGTGATAGATCCCGCGTAGCACAGAAATGCTTATAAGGCGCAAAAAAAGCGCTTATACAGGTGTATGTATGTCTCTAACTCTCTACAGTTTTTTATCGCTTTCAAATCCACTGTGAAAAGCACATTATAAATGTATACAATTAGCGCAGAATAAATGCAGTTTTATAGCATGTTTACAGCATTTTTTACGTAGCACAGCAGTGCCTGCAAAGCGCTCAGAGAGTGCTATAAAAGCGCATTTATTGAACTGAAATTTCTCTGAAATTTTGCTGAAAATTAATTTTAAAAATCGCTCAAATTAAAATCGAAATTTTATTGAAAAATAAACAAAACGTAAAAAAATTTCAGCAAAATTTTTTCACCAGGATGTGTGTGATATTGTAATTGAAATACATTATATACTTATACATTATATACTATCGTCGAAACTAGCCAAGACATTCATATTTATAAATGTAGATATTTTAGAAAATTTTCAAAAAATTTATTTTTTATTTATTTTATTGTTAAATAAAATGTTCTTAAATAATGTCGACAAAATCTCAATGTTTCTGTGCTAAAAAAAATTCGTCTGAATCGCTTTTGAAGTGCAAGCTTTAAAGCGTTCTTTACGCGCGTAATCATTTCTTAATCTTGTGTGACTTGAAATCTGCTGAGTTATTCACATTTAATAAAAGTATATAATAACTGATAGCAATTTTGAGAGATGCAGTCGCAAGAACGCTACCAAAGCGCTTTGCAGCGGTGCTACGTAGAGGTTTCATATTTCTCATTTTTGTAATTTTAGTGAAAATATATCATTTTTATATTATCATGCCACGTAAAAAAAAGTAGGTAAGCTTTAAAACTCGTTTCATTACAAAGTAATTTCTTTCTTTATTTCTTACAATATTTATACTTATACGAATTATGTATAGGTTAGATTAAATTATGATGGAAAACTGCTTTTATATAAAGACTATTTCCTATGAACATTTTCGTGCTGAAAACTTTAACTTTTTGTGGATTGGTATTTGAAATTATCTCCTTTTATTTTGTAAACTTTTTCTCTATCCGCTTGATCTTCGTGAAACTTGGCCTATAAGTAACTTAATAATGCTTTATTCAAATCTAAGATCAAAAATAAAAAATTTTAAATAGTGGATTCAATATGGTGAGTAGAATTTAAAAAAATAATCTGATTATCATATACACATATGAAACTCAGAGAATTTTTAATTGCTTAATATATATAACATCATGTTTCAGTCTTAATTTATTTGAAGCTTACAATTGTGCTATGCAAATAGTTAGAACCGATTTTCGTACCGATTTTCAAACTTCGATTACGAACCTTATACGATATATGATTCTTCATTAGCTAGACTTTTAAAATTTGATATTCAAATTCAGCGATACCAAAAAGATTTTCTTGAATTTTCTGTAATAATCATATTTTCTGAATTTTAATATTCTAAGACTAGAATCGAATTCGACCTCAAAGCCTTTAGAAAACAACACTCTTCTTTAAGTTTCTTTATTAGAAAATTCCCGATCTTAAAAAGTTAAGAATAGTATCTTTTCGGAAGCTGCATATGTATGAGTACCATAAATGTTTTACGAATCAGCTTCTCATACGTCTTGAACATTTTCTTATTGCTATTTGATTTATTGATATTTATTATTTGATGAAATTTATTGATAAAACATTAAACGCACGCCATCGTTCTCAATTCTATACGATATTTAGAGGTTTGTTCGCATTGAAATCTCCAAAAACGTTTTCACTTAAAATGACACAAATATGTATTGAAAAGAGGAGAGGTAAAGATGCTGGATGCAAAAAGTGTAAGTAATGCGAACAGATCTATTAATAACATCTACCGATATGCAAAGATTTACGGTCCATCCACCGATTTAATTGGAGCCAATATACATTCATACACCCACGTACGCTCGACGATTGATTCAATCGTCTAGTTGTCACCACATTGCATTCTACGATATCTGCGACGGCGAAGAATACAAATAAAAGAATAAATTTCCCAAGTAGGATAATTTACGTGATTTTTTTCATAGGCACGACCGAAGGGCGAGGGTCTGACACCGTATCAGGGTAAGAAGCGGTGCTTTGGTGAATACAAATGTCCCAAGTGCAAGCGCAAATGGATGTCGGGCAACAGCTGGGCCAATATGGGCCAGGAATGTATCAAGTGTCACATAAACGTGTATCCTCACAAACAGGTGAGCGAGGAGAAGTCCGACCTGTCCGCCTCCTCCGTGTCTGCCTTCACCGCCCGCACGTTACGGGTTCTTTCCGTGATCAATCGTTAAATATAAAATTAGTCATGATTCTCCTCGACGAAGTCCCGGTCAGACTCGCTAAAAGATTCGACTCTTGGAACGGCTTCGCTCTCTCGAAATATTGCACGGCCAAGAGAACGAAATCTCGTGTAAACCAACGCGAATGCTAATTATAGTCGCATAATCACGCTCACTGGCTCGCTCTTTTGCCTGCCCGGTGGGCAGAAATACCCGGAGTCACCGGTAATCGTTACGTTACGTTTCCCGAAAAACATTCGCGAAATTCCTATTATAATTGAACATTAGCTATGCCGTGCCGCGAGCGAATGCTTTAAACTTTAAACGATCCCAGATTCGCTGTACAATCGCCAAGTCTCGAAAATCGAATTCACATCGGAGAATTTCAATAATATTAATGGTACCAATAATGTATTAACAATAATGTGTAAATTAGCTAATTAAACGTTAATTAAATTAATGACAAAAATGTGGTAAATTGTACTGGACAAAAAAAGAGGGCATGTTTATGTGAGCAAATGAGAATATTATCTAACAAGATTTCTATTCTTATCTCTCTTGCGAGAAACAACGTAGAGTGTGGGTATAAAATCATTTCTATTATTTTCAGAGGCCGTTGGAAAAACCCGATGGTTTAGACGTGTCCGACCAGAGCAAGGTACATCCTCAACATCTCTGCGAGAAATGTAAGACGTTGGGCTATTATTGCAGACGAAGCGCTATAATAACTTAACGAATTCCGTCCAATTCATCTCGCTGATCCAATTAATTGCAAGAAAGGGAGGGTTTAATGATGAACTAATGAAAGACAGTTCGATACACTTGAACGCATCAATACGCATCGATGTGAATCTTATAGATAGAGCGTCCATTTCTGTTCGCGAGATTAAATAGAGA